CATGTACTGCAGATACACATCGTAAGACACCGGTGGCGGAATTTTAATGCCGTGATATGTGTCTTGTACTTCCTGAATGAGCGTAGAGATAGCAATGCCGTCGTAGAGCGCATGATGGCAGCCAAAAAGTAGCTTTGTTGATCGTTCGTCTTGTATCAACGCGAGGTGAATCGGAGGGCTTTCGGCTGCTACTTGTTCAGAAATGACACTGTTTATACGCGGCGGTAGGCCATCCAGGGTGCTGTAGTGATGCCATTTCAAGTCGGTATCGCGTAGCACAACTTGCGTGAAGGCGAATGACGGGTTTTCAGTAGCAACGAAACATGTGCGAAGGATCTCATGTCGCCGTAACATACTCTCCCAGGACTCCTGCAACCGGGAGACGTCTCCTTTGACGTCGAAAAGCATTATGTTGCAGTACGCCGAATGTGAGGACGGCTGGCCGCTTGAAAGCATAGCCTCTTGAAGTGGTGTGCACGGTAGGATCTTAGCCACCTGGGATTCGCTTTGATTGTAACGCGCAAGAACACGAGACACTTCTTCTGAGCTCAAGAACTTGTCTAGGCTGACGGTATTAGGCCTGGTCGTTTCTCGAGTCGAAGGGCGCGAATGCAGTGGACAGACAGATGCGAGACGAGCGATTGAAGCGTTCTTCAACACTGTAGAGATGGAGAAGTCACCCAAGTCTTGTTTTCGAAGTCCGTTGCAGAAGCGTATAGCTGAAACCGAATCTAGACCCAGGCTGAAGAATGACGACGTCCGCTGTATTCCTTCCGGTGAGGTGTTCAGTGTGGATGAAAGAACCTCGGCCACGGCTTTCTCCCATGGCGAGAAGACCTCCGCCTTTGCATCATCCTGCGTCCATTGCAAGGCGACCTGTTCTTCTTTCGCTAAGTCCCAGAATGTGCGTTGAAGGAGAGCCTTGTCGATCTTGGCTTGCATTGTCATGGGAAGGCGCGAAACGGGAACGAGATGCGAGGGAACCATGTACGAAGGCAGGCGACGCGATAGCAGATCAGACAGATCCGATATCACCGATTCAAACTCCATAGGCGTCAAACATTGGAAGGAGTCAGATGCAGCTCCGTTGGGTACCCAGAACACTACCAGTGTTTGAGTATCGTCGGAACGCGGTAGGAGAAGGGTGACGCAGTCTTGCACTGCCTGATGATCGAGCATCACTGACGTTATCTCACCGAGTTCGACACGCTGACCACGGATTTTGACTTGATCATCCATACGGCCTTTGGAAAGTATGGAACCATCCGGGAGTAGTATACCTGTATCGCCTGACCGGTATATCCTGCCATAGGTGGAGTGGTTGATGATCTTGGCGGCATTCAGCTCTGGTCGGTTCAGATAGCCACGGAAAACCTGGTAACCTCCGAAACAAAGCTCACCTACGGCACCGAGGGGGAGAATTGCCTCGCTCTCGGGATCGAGCACGAGGGCTGAAGTGTTATCGAAAGGCATACCGATGTTGTTGATGAGATCATCCGGAGTTACCGCCGCCCGTACAGTGCATATGTTTGTGGTCTCAGAAGGACCGTAGCCTTGGTACAAGCCTTTGCCTGCCCACCTTCTTCGAACATGTTCCGTCAAAGCTTCTCCAGCAGTCACCAGGAATTCGACTTTCGGAACATTCACTGGATCTACCAATGCTGCAACTGTTGGCGTCAAACTTAGATGTGTGACGCCCAGACAGTTGATGGCGGCCTCAAAGTCGTGAAACAAGTCGTCTTTCGTTGCCGTGCATAGGCATATACCAACATGCCATGAGAAGAAAATCTCGAAAACACTGACATCAAATGCTTGCGAGCAAGACTGAAGCAAACATGAGTCTGCATGAACGGGGTATATAGTTGAAAGGTACTGCAAGTTACTCATGAGATTATCCTGGGTAACGAGAACTCCCTTGGGCGCTCCAGTGCTGCCGGAAGTGAATACAGCATAGGCGAGATGCTGTCCGCTATATGGCACGTCCAGGTTCTGATCAAATTGTTTCGCAAGATGAGGGGTGTTGAACTCAATTATATCGACGAGAAGATGATTTCGAATGCCTGTTGCAGTTGTTGTGTCGGAAACGCATACCGTTACTTGCGCGTCGTCCAGGATGCTTCTGACTCTGTCGATCGGCGTATCAGGGACTATCGGTAGATATCCGCAACCAAGCTTGAGCACAGCAAGGATACAGATGTAAAGATCAATGGACTTTTCCATCATTATGCAAACCAATTGATCGTCGCCTACGCCGTGATCGACGAGGACACGGGCAAATTGGTTAGCGCGTGTGTTGAGCAGACCATAGGTCGCCACCTCTTCTACTTCCACGACACCACGTCTGACGCGAGCAAATTTGAGAGCTGACCTTCGCGGCTCCTTCAGGGCCCATTGTTCTACCGCATGGGCAGGACCATGCTCTATCGTTTGCTGTCGAGGCGTGGGGTTGGCAATTGACAAGGAAGGCGTGGTGAAGCATCGTTTCATGGCATCGATGCCATGGTTGGCATTCGATAAGAGCAGATTCACTATCTCGTCGATCTGACGAGAGAGATACTTGATCTGATGCTCCGGTATAGTTGAGGCGTCGTAGGTAGCGTGGAAAAATATGTTGTCTTCGCGCGGCTCGAATTCCAGCGTAAGCCTAAATTCCAGATCGTCCGCGCTATCGATGACTCTTGAAGCGAGCGACGAGCTTGAGTCGGAGATGATTGACTGTTGCCATACAAACAGAACGTCGAAGAGTCGTGTCCCAGGTGGGATATTTCCCGCCTTCACTATGTCCCGGAAAGGAAGGGTGCTGTGGCTCAGACATTCTCTATTCAATGCTTGGGTCGTACGCAATAGATCATGAATGTCGAGCGTTTTACTGAGATTTATGCGGAAAGGGACGGTTGCGATGCATGGGCCGATAACATCCTCAACACCAGCGATGGGAATGGTCCGTCCTGAGGTAACGTTTCCAAGAACTATATCGTTTGTGCCGCTATAAAGGCTGAGTATGTACGAAGTAGCCGCCTGGAAATAAACCTGGGGGTTGACAGCCATCTCCTGAGCTCGCTGGAATAGTCTGGATCTGTTGATAGCAGAACGGCCCGAAAAGTGATGTGTCGCCGGGTCGCGAACGAGCTTTCCATGGTAATTAGGGAGGGCCACCGGAAGGTAGCCATTGAGGAGACTACTCCAGTAGCTCTTGGGTACTTCTTGATCCTCCGGCCTAAGTTCAGTGAAGTACTGGACTACATCACGAAATTGTGGCCGCGATACTGTCTCCTCTCCACGCAACCGTGTGTCGAGATCGTGGAGCAATAGATCGAATGACCAGCCATCGTACAGTGCATGATGTATGCGGAACAAGAGACGAGGTCGTCTAGATATCGACATAACTTGTACGTTGAAGGGACGAAGAAAGTCTTCATCGGAGCTCATTGAGTAAGACCTCGAAAAGACATCAACTTCCTGAATCTGTGATGGCAGTAATGCTCTCCAAATAATCTGCGAGAACGTTCCTGCGTGCTGTGATGCCGCAACGAAGCCGGTACGCAGGATCTCGCTCTTACTGGCCAAGTAGTCGAGGGCGTTTCGGATATCTTCATACGTCCGCGCAACTGATAGCTCAACTTCGATCCAGTTGCAGTAGGCAGTAGGCCTGGATATCGTCTCCGCAAGCATGGCTTCCTGCAATGGAGTACAGGGTATCACGGATGCAATATCATTCTTCCATCGCTTGAGCTGAGGGATCTCTACGATGCCGGTCATCTTCGCAGAGTGATAGGTCGGATTATGCCGATTAGCGCTTTGTGTAGAACCTCTACATATCGCAACGAGATCGCTCAACGTTCTCGCAGATAGTACTTCCATGGCTCCTAGGACGAATCCTTGTCGACGTAGCGCAGACGCTATGCGAATAGCTCGAAGGGAATCCAGGCCAGCAGAGCTAAGGTTGGTATCTGATCCAAGGTCTTGAGAGATGTGACGACCAACGGTTTCCAGGACTGATTGGCTCACATGATCGCCTGGGGATATGGTGGTAGACGTGGACAGTCCAGCAGAGTTAGTCTTGTGAAGATGTGTTTTTGCAAGAGAGTCTTTGTCAATCTTTCCCGACGGTAACTGCGGCATTGTATCGATGAAGTATACGTGTGATGGAATCATAAATGCCGGAAGCCATTGGTTACAGGTAGCGAGGACATCTGCGCGGGTGACTTCGCTCGAGTCGGCAGCGCAAAAGGCAACCAAAGACTCTTCGACAATGATTACGGTTGCTGTCCGACAGCTCTGTATCCTCATGATAGCTTGTTCAATTTCGCCGAGCTCAACCCGTTGCCCTCGAAGCTTTACTTGACCAGCAACGACACGACCCAAGCATTCCAAGACGCCGTGGCGGTTGATTCTTGCGCGATCGCCGGTACGATATAAGCGACCATGTTCCGGATGTTCGATGAACGATGCAGAAGTGAGATCCGGGCGATTTAAATATTCTTCGGCAACCTGGGGTCCTCCAATGGCTAGTTCACCAACTTCTCCGGAACTCAGTATCTCGATGTCGGCCGATGGTCGTTCTTCATTCGTAGGCGCGATTATGAAAGCCGAAACAGTATCCAAGGGACGACCTATGATGCTAGTTGACGAATGTGTCGAGAACTGTGGCTGCAGCGTGCAGTGGATCGAGGCTTCAGTCGGCCCGTACATGGCCCATAGCATACTTTCCTTCGTTTCGTCGCCACCATACTCATCAATGACGTGTTGGGTGAGCATCTCACCGATGGTAAGTAACAGTTTGAGTCCGGGCACGCTGGACCTGCCTTGAAGAAGGTTGCTCACGACTGTTGGCGTAAGTTCAGCTGCATCGACCTCTAGATTGTTGATGGCTCCTGGAAGGTCATCGAGCATGTGGGCACGTGTGCTGCTCACCAAGGTTCGCCCTCGGAACCAGGGAAAGAATATCTCAAAAATGGAAACATCAAACGTCTTAAACTACATTAGTAGAGAAAGAGCGCTTATTCTGCATGTGCACTTACAGGGGCTGCGAATTGAAGAAAACGGGCGAAGTCGGGAATGTGGCGGTGGTGAGCCAATAGACTCTGGGTAACTGCATGATGAGTTACGCTGACAGCTTTTGGCTTCCCGGTAGAGCCGGAGGTGTATAGTACATAGGCCAGATCCTTGGTGTTTGGTCGCCGCAAATCGATTATAGGCTGGTCCTCGCGGTCGCAGAGTTCTTTGTCAACCGAGATTACTTCGATATTGATCGCTGCTCGTATCCGCTCATCTAGAATCGAAGATGTGATGAGCAGGTCGGCGGAAATATCATCGAGGATAAACTTCAGCCGCTGTGTAGGTGTATCGAGATTAAGAGGACAGAATGCCTTTCCCGCCTTCAAGATGGCCAAAAGAACGATATACAGTTCTGGGGACTGTGGTAGGAAGACCGGAATGACAGGCGAGGCACTTTCGAGCTTTGCCAGTCTTTCTGTGATACTGCCAGCCAGGGCATCGCTCAGACTATGCAAGTCCTTGTAGGAGAACTTCCGCCTTTTCGATCCATATTCCAGGAAATCGATAGCAGTTGCATCGTGATCAAGTGGACGTACAAGCTCGTGGAGAAGGTCTGGCCCGCTCAAGATCGAGGGCCGCTGATTAAGTACCGACAGTCGTTGGTTCCCGCCGCTTTCTTGAATCATCTTGCGTTAAATTGTTAGATATGTCGACCGATGGCAACGGTTACTGGTAGAACATTCGAGTCTATGTCGTCCCTAGCGATACGTCCATGAATTTCCCGAAGAAAGAATTGCAAAAAATGCACTCGATATTGCTGGACGGGAATCTGCAGAATGTGATGCTTGATCGCAGGTTTCGATGATGAGAAACTGAGGCACGATGATTGGTCGAAGGTCTTCAAGTACCTTGAGACCAGTACACACAGGGGTGGCGCACGTGAGAACGGGTTCCAGCACTCTGTACTTGGGTAGCGCGTTCGACACTTGACGACGGAGTGTGCAGTGCTCCGGTGTAAGCAAGCAGGCAGCAAGCAACCTTCAAGAAGCGACCTCCAAGAACGTATCGCGGTCGCCGAATTCCAAATGGTCGAATAGTGCTAGAATCAAAAGTCGAGAAAATCCAAGCTGAGGCGTGCACTGATCCGATGATTTCTGGTGTCGCGACTCCGTGATGTTGAGCGCGTTGTCCGTAGATGCAGCGTCATACATCCTGGTTGAGTGACAAGTGGACGTGTCATTCGACAAGCGGCGCGTGAGATCTGATACAGTAAATCAGACGCGTTTGGCGGCGGCTTTGCAAGTGGGCGAAAACGGGAGCAAAAACTGTTCGAGACAAGACTAAATCGAGACTGAAAACCGAAGCTCCACCTCAATCATGCTAGTCCGGAGTAGTAGCGTGAAGTGGTGGACGTAAAGGCGTGGGCGCGTCTCCGATGACGACAAGGCCGTCGCGGTGGCTGGTTGGGCGTCGTTGTTCCATAGCCTCTTTGCTATCGCCCCACGCTATGGAGCAGAATCAGTTTGTCAAGCGCAAACGCGTCGTGCGCAAGATTCTGTCGCAACGTGGTTGTGGACGCGACCTCGGAGCTGTGCCGCTGCTTGGTGGGGAAGACGCGGCCGGGCATGCCGCCGAAAATCCCGTGCTTGCGTGACATGCCAGGCGGGTCATCCCTTGAGCAGAAATTATCAGATGCAGCAGCAGGCAGTCTACCCCTGACCTGGCTTCACGTCGCCGCTAGCCCAGCCCTACAACTGCTGCTAGGGATGCACGCTGCACGCATCCGTCAGGCTGTCACCCGACTGCCCACTGTGAACTCACCTGCCGCAGCCCGATGACAGAGTATATATGGTAGGCCTTACACATGCGGCCTCTCCAGATGCCCAGACAGTCGCTGGTTGTCGCTGGTTGTCGCTGCCCTTCTGGTGCATGAACATGTTGCAGGGCGGCCATCTATGACCATGCCAAGACTCTAATTTAGTCCTGCGCTCCTACCACGTCTTCCGTGTTGGCCATGGATGTGACATCAACAACGCTGCATTATCAACATCGCCTCCATGGCATCCTCGCTCATTCTAGTCCACAGTCGCAAGTTTATCGCTGCATCTCTCGCTCGCTAATGCTCATCTGAGCAGCAGCCGAGCACTGCACACCCGCAATCGCATTGCGCAACGCCAGGCGCGCGCCACAATGCCCGACTATCACGACGATGACAGCTCCGAGAGCCAACCCCTTCTGGATTCCGAAGAAAGTGAAATTGAGGATCAGCCCTCTGTCCGCCACAGTACGCAATGGGAAAGGCATGTAGAACCGTCGTTAGCGACGGTTCAGCCTCAGGCTTTTGAAGGTCCCACCGTCTTTCGTCAACGATTCATCCGCCAAATCCTTGGCTTGAACAAAACCTCCTATTTTGCACTCTACAGGCAGCTGGATGATGTTGGCTCCAAGCTGATTCTGGTTTTGGGCATCGTAACTGCGATTCTGGCCGGGCTGCCGCTTCCTCTGATAGGTGTCGTGCTTGGGCGCATTATCAACAACTTCCCACCCAACCCAGACGAGCTGAAGCATCTCTTGTTCCGTCTGATGTCAGTCGCAGTCGGGTATTTTGTCATTACCTGGGCTTGGGCGGTTTGCTGGGCTGTCATAGGAGAACGCGTGAGTAGGAAAACAAGAGAAAGACTTTTGCATCGTGCTTTAGGCATGGACATGACCTACTATGGTGCGTAGATGCCCGAGAAATGCCTCGCATAGACTATGTATTGACTCGATTTGCCTTTCGTAGACACCGTCTCGCCTGATCTTTCTAGTATTCTCACAGAGAAGACACAGACCATTCAACTCGGTACCTCGGAGAAGGTGGGCCTCTTCATCGCATCCATAAGCTACTTCATCTCCGCATTCACTGTGGGTTTTATGCTAAACGCAAAACTGACCGGAGTAATGTAACTATCATCATCGCTGTCATGTCAAGAGAGAATCGTTAACATAGCTACATAGGTTCGTCACGGTTATACCTTCAATGGCATTCGTTGTCTATTTCGGTACTAAACAAGTTTCCGATCTCGCCAAGCAGGCTGCACAATACACCGAGAAAGCTGCCTCGGTCGCTGAGAGTGCTATCCGCGCAGTACAGATCGTGCAGGCGTTTGGCCTGTTCGAGCAGCTTAGCGAGGAACACGTTCATCACCTTCGATCTGCCTTGCGGGTTGGAATCCGGAAGAGCGTTGCAGGAGCTGTCATGCTTGGCTCGGTTTACTTCGTTGCATATGCGACCAACGCACTTGCTTTCTGGTACGGTGATCGCTTAAGAGACGGCAGCGCTGAGGCTGGTACCATCTATGCAGTCGTCTTCCTCATACTAGACGCTTCTTTCGTCGTCGGGTCATTCGGTCCATTCATTCAGACATTTGCAATGGCCGCCGCCGCTGGGGCTGCGGTAATGGATGTTCTCGATCATCCCACATCCGATATCGATGTCTATTCCCCAAAGGGAAAGCCGGCGGACAGGACACATTTCGAACAGGATCTGGTGCTTTCATCGGTATCATTTGTATACCCAGCTCGTCCTACTGTGCGAATCCTCGACAGTATCAATTTACGCATCAAGCCTGGGCAAGTCACGGGTCTAGTTGGACCGTCCGGTTCGGGAAAGGTAATCATCAACTTTCGACTAGCACAAACCATTGGCTAACCTCACTTCTTCCTAGTCTACTATTGCATCCCTGCTTTTGAGGCTCTACGATCCAACTTATGGCGCCGTAAACCTCGGCAACGACAACTTGAAGTCATTCAACGTCCACAGCCTGCGGACACACATCGCACTCGTCACTCAAAATCCGGTTCTCTTCACTGGAACAATACTGGATAATATCAAGCATGGTATCCCAAGTGCCGAAAGAGAACGATTGACTGAAGACGAGATTCTTGCTCGGTGTGAGGCGGCGGCGACAGAGGCATATTGTGATTTCCTAGACCGACTTCCTGAGGGCATACACACGAAAATCAGTTCCGGACCCCAGTCTCAACTTTCCGGAGGCCAAAAGCAACGTATAACCCTCGCGCGTGCGCTTGTGGGTAACCCGTCCCTGCTTTTACTGGACGAATTCACAAGTGCCATGGACGGTACAAGTGAAGCGATCGTTTTGGAAAATCTACGTCGTTCTTCAGCCAACGCCAACCGAACCACCATCATAATTGCACATCGTCTGGCAACTGTTCGAGATGCTGATCGTATCGTGGTCATGAAAGACGGAAGTGTAGAAGAAGACGGGCGCCATCAAGATCTTCTCAAAAAGAACGGCATCTACGCAGAGCTCATCAAAGCACAACAATTCGAAAAACCGCGGCCTTCAGCAACTTCATCGATTCGATCTGCTGCCAGCTCTACGCACAAAGAGCATGGAGAGTCTTCAGGCGAATCAAACAATGCCTCCCGGCCGGTTTCAGCATCACAAACCGACGCGCCAAAGATGAGTGCTTTGACATTAATTCGCAGATCGTTGGTATTGAGCCGCCGTGAAACGCCAGCTATAATTGTCGGTTTGATCTCCTCCGTCTTCAGTGGTGGAGTCATTATCGGAGAGGCGCTCATATTTGGCAACTTGGTTGAGCTCTTGAATGACACGTCCGGCTCGGACGATCTCACGAGGAGAATATCTTTCTACTGTTTGCTTTTCTTCGGACTGGCAATCATCGCTCTAACTTCACACTCTTTCGGCAAAACTGCTTTCGGCATGGTCTCCGAAAACCTTACCTTACGAGTCCGAGATCTATCTTTCCGGACTATCTTGCAACAAGACATTGCCTGGTTCTCTAAGCCTGGTCATTCTCATCACGCTTTAATGTCGCGTCTGAACTCTGATAGCGGCAGTATTAGTGGTCTATCTGGTGTCATACTCGGAACCGTCTTCTCCATTGCGACGTCTGTTCTTGGCGGAATTGTTCTGGCCCATATTGTGGCATGGAAAATCGCCATTGTTCTACTGGCGGCTGTACCTGTCATGCTTCTAGCTGGATTCCTGCGCCTTCGTATCTTGGCTATGGCCGAAGAGCATCATCAGACGGCTTACAATGACGCTGCAGCCCTCGCTTCCGAAGCCACTTCTTCTATGCAGATCGTTGCAGTTTTTGGCTTGGAATCGCACTTCCTGGATGGTTACCGAGAAGCAATCAGAAAGCCATACGAGGAGCACCTCAGGTTCAGCGTGCTTGGCAACATCTTACTCGCCTTTTCACTCTCGGTCACATATTTCGTCTACTCTTTGGCGTACTGGTGGTAAGCATATATGTTGATGCCGCTTCCATCAGCCACATGCTAATTGATGCGACAGGGGGTCTAAACAAGTGCGCAACGGTAACTATAGTCAACGAGAGTTCTTCATTGTACTCCCTGCGCTTCTTTTTTCTGCACAATCCGCAGGTCAGCTCTTCAGCTTGGCACCCGAAATAACTCGGGCCAAGGCCGCAGCGCAGAATGTATTCTCTCTACATGACGAGAAGCCGTCGATCATCACAGATTTGAGGCCTTTGGAATCCGCTACCACCACTGCATCCAATGGTAGCGCTTTGTTGTCTGGCCCTTCAGCATCGTATGGAACATTTGGAGTGCGTGGAGAACTGGAGTTCCGTAACGTCAGTCTCTACTATGAGAGTCGGCCTAATGTTCCCGCCTTGAACAACGTCTCATTTCAGATTCGCCAGGGCGAAAACGTAGCCTTTGTCGGTCGTTCCGGTAAGTCAACGAGATCGTCGCACGATAAGTACTGACTTCGTCGCCAGGCGCTGGAAAGTCGAGTACGATTCATCTGATAGAGAGATTCTTCGATCCAAATGCTGGACAAGTGTACCTTGATGGGCAAGACATACGCCAAGAACCCGTTCGAAACCATCGTGCTCGCCTAGCACTTGTGGTAAGTTACCCATTCTCGTTCAGATCAACACACACTTCATTCTGTTACATTTCAATCGAGTGTGGGGCTCTTCATGGGGCGCCTTTCATATGAAGATGACTGACACCCAGCAGGAGCAAGAGCCAGATCTCTTTCCAGGCTCCGTAAAGTTCAATATCGGACTGGGCGCTCGGCCAGGTACCGCAGTCGCCGATGAAGATATACAACGGGTGGCCAAAGAATGTGAGCTTCACGACTTCATCATGAGCCTTCCAGAGGGCTACAACACGGAAGTCGGTGCACATGGCTCCAAACTCTCAGGCGGTCAGCGCCAACGCCTTGCTATCGCCCGAGCTCTCATACGTGATCCCGAGATCCTACTTCTCGATGAAGCGACATCGCAGCTGGACGCCAATACCGAGCGCGACATCCGAACGGCTATCGCCGCTGCCTCCAAAGGACGAACTACCATCATGATAGCACATCGATTAGCGAGTGTGCAATATGCAGATCGTATCTTCGTGTTTGATGGCGGTCGTATCGTTGAGCAAGGCAGACACGATGAGCTCGTAGCCATGGGAGGCATTTATGCTGCCATGGTCGCAACACAGGAGCTGGATTAGGTGCTCATCTATACACTTTGTCGACCTTTCATTTCGCAGTCTCCTCGGACCGGTTCGTCTTTTCGATGCGTGTTGTTTAGGCGACTGGCGCATTGTAATATGCGTATGTACCAGTACCCTCATGTTTTGACTACCTATAGGAGCACCCCTCGCATTTCGAAGGCGTTGAACAATGTTTGTTCCTGTACCATCATAGTTCCTTTCATAATTAATTAATGCTTCATGCGTCAAGCATGGCACATGATCTTGTTCCTCAACCTGCCTAGTTCGCGCTGGTGCATTCCCTTCAGTATATGTTGCCGCGTTTGCATGCTAACGAAATGGCATGCTCACAGTGGGCCCTAAGATGGAACAGCGACAGATGCATTTATCCAAATGAGCGCACTGTTCCGAAGACTGGCCGGTGCAATCTTTTCGTTCCACAGCTATTCACAAAGTCAACGCTTCTGCTCTGCGCATGTCCTGTTTCTCTTACCGCATATTGCTCTCAGCGATGCGAGGGCGACTTGACGAGCGGAAGATGGCGTCTTCGAGCGCCTCGTTCGTCATCAGCTTGCTTCACTATGCGCTAGCACGACGTGCTTCTGGACCTTGGAATGATCGGCGGCTGCGGCGTGCTAACCGAGCCTAGTAGCAACGCCGGAACATGCAGTTGATGGTGGTGTCGTTGGGCGTGCACCAGTAAGACCGAGGCCGCTCCGAACTCGCAAGAAATCTCTTCATCTAATCTGATCGATTGATTCATTTTCATCTGATAACTTTTACTCCGCCAAGCGCGCATGTTACCCACGACCCCACGGAGACTATACTCGATCGCGTCGCTCGACGCAACTACAGGACAAGTGCTGCGGGGCACGTCTGAAAATTTTGCCTCCGTCACACGCTTTACCAGTGCCGAACAAGCTGTTGCTCGACGGGCTATGCTCCGTCATCTTATCAGATGGCGCGTCCGAAGATCAGTGACATGGGGGTTGTGCTGCCATCACCTGCTTAGCGAACCACACATGGTGACACTAGGTTGGAACGGACCGTCAGGGTCTGCTCTTACGAAGTGACATCGGACCATTCTCTGACGAGCATCGCGGCCGCTGCCGATCGACATGGATGGGCTACACGCAAGAACGGATCCTGGGCACGGCCATGGTCAAGGTACAACTCATGGCCGCCGTCGTGGACCTTCTCCCATAACCTGACGACGGTAGCTACGTTGACCATCCAGCGTCTTGTAACCTTACAATTGAGCGATCAAATAGGTACGTTGCTGTCATCAGTCTTTTCGTCTTGTTCATCTGCGTCAAGTGTAGACGTCATTGTTTATCACATGAATCCGCTGACTGTCGGCTTTCCACTTACAGCTCCGCGACTCAAGCTTCTTGACGCCTGATTGCCCAGTTCTAAAAGAACCCAATTTGAAGCGTTGGTGACAGTTGTCAGTGTACGTAGTCCCGCCAACAGTTGCGCACAGCGCGACACGAGCTCGCGTAATGTGTGCCAGCAACACTAACAGAAGAAGGGTACCTCGTAGTGACAACCCGGGAATAAATCGCAGATATGAGTCCTCACGCCGAAATGTCGTCGAGCACGTCCGAAGGGCCAGCCCCAGCCGTTCAACGAGCTTTCAACGGTTTCCTGACCGAGAACCTCAATGAAAGCCATCTCCCCACGATTGAAAACCGTTCACACCTCCGATACACTGCAGAAGATGAACTGCACGACCTTATATGTGTCGGTTTTGGTCCAGCGTCACTAGCCATTGGTGTGGCTCTACATGATGCTCTGGATGGGACTGATCCTTCCTTGGTGGATGTTGCGGGCCTACAAAGCAGACCACCAAAAGTCGCGTTTCTCGAGAAGCAGTCGCAATTCGCGTGGCACGCTGGCATGCTTCTACCGGGTGCGAAGATGCAAATCACATTCATGAAGGACATGGCCACTATGCGAAACCCGAGAAGTGAATTCACCTTCATCAACTATCTGCACCAGAAGGACCGCTTAGTCGAGTTCGCAAACCTGAACACCTTCCTACCAGCTCGTGTGGAGTACGAGGACTACATGAAGTGGTGCGCTAGCTGGTTCGAAGAGGTGGTAGCATACAGCCAAGAAGTCATCAAGGTCATGCCTGAGAAGTCGCCAAATGGCGAGATAACCACATTCACAGTCGTCTCGCGCAACACCCTGACAGGACGCATCGAGTCGCGGAGAACCAAGCATGTCGTCATCGCTGCGGGTGGAAGACCCAACATTCCTGCGCCATTCCCGACAAACCATCCCAAGGTTGTCCACTCGTCAAAGTTTTCATACATCTCGAAGGAGATCTTGAAGGATCACAGCGCACCTTACAGTGTGGCAGTAGTCGGGAACGGCCAGAGTGCCGCTGAGATCTTTGACTTCCTACACGCAAACTACCCCAACTCGCGAACACGGATGCTGATCAAGGGCGGAGCCCTGCGACCAAGCGACGACTCACCATTGTAAGTGAGAAATGACTGTTGCCGAACTGCCTCGCTAATATACCAGTGTCAACGAAATCTTCAACCCGTCGCGAACAGACTGCACATACGCGCGCGCCCCTAAGCTTCGCGCAACTACGCTGCTCGAAGACAAGGGCACGAACTACGGCGTCGTCCGCCTTCCGCTTCTCGAACACATCTACGAGACGCTTTACCTACAGCGCATCCGTCATGGTAACTCGCCCGCTGAGGAAGAGAACTGGCCGCACAGGATCATGCCATACCGTCGCGTCATCGATGTGACCGACTCCCCAGTTCGGCCGGGTGGTGTACGCCTTCAGGTACAAGACACCAGTCCATTATACTTCTCGGAGTGTGCGGGTACCCAAGAAAGGCAGGAGACATTGGATGTCGATGCCGTCTTTGTTGCGACTGGATACCACAGGGACCTACACGAGACGCTGCTCAAGGACGCAAGACACCTAATGCCCGGTGGAGAGCTAGAGGGCGCCAAGTGGCAGGTGCAGAGGGACTACAAGATCAACTTCACCGAGAAGAGTGTTGGTGACGATGCCGGTGTTTGGCTGCAGGGCTGCTGTGAGACTACGCACGGTGTAAGTATTGCCTGGGCATGTTGCGAAGAGAAAGATGTGCTAATTGTGTGACAGTTGAGCGATACCCTTCTTTCGGTGCTTGCGACGCGTGGAGGTGAGATGGTGAGGAGCATCTTTGAGAGGCCTGCCACGTGGGACAACGGCGACGTGTTGGGCGGGTATGAGATGCGCGAGTAATGGATGGTTCGTCGGTGGATTCCATGTAACTAGGCACACTCCTCTTCCAGCTGCACATACTACTATGACGTCTTTGGTCACGCCAGCTTTTCGCCCAGCCATGTCCAATCTCGTTTGTCGTTCCAATTGCACGTGTCGCTTGCACTTGCTGCGGTCCGCGGCGGGTGTTGTGAGGGAAAAAAGCAACGCTTATTTGAATTTGATATCGGTGCCTAGGGCATCCAGGGTCGCGCCTGCCTGTTTGAGGACCCTGAAGAAGGAGGCAGCCCAAAGAAGCTGCAGTCGACACAACGAGAAGCTGCGCGGCGACCGTCGTGTGCCTGCTGTATGCGTGATAATAATGAACAAAACGGCAGAGAAAGGCAGCTGCAGCCCGCACAGTGAATGACGGCAGTCACCCCACGATGATGGGCGCGAGGAGGCTGGCCGCTTTGGTCGCTAGCGCAACCAAGGAAAGAGCCCAATTCCATGGATGTTGCAATGGCGCCGACATCAGCGCTACGCTGACCTTGAAGCCATCCTTTCCCTCTGCCTGTGCATATTCCCCTCTGCGCTTCCCGTCCGCGCATTTCTTCCCTGCGGCTGCTCCAGGCCCTGCTGCGACAGCGTACAGCCGCTGACCACGTAACACCACCCCGCAACCGCCAAACGCTCCAAGCCCGTCACCCCGAGTCCCGTACGGCCACAACAAGCGCGCTCCCCTCGAGCCCACGCCTCTTGCACCCACGACTCCAGCGCTGCGCCGCAGTCACCGTCCGCCGTAGCTCGATCCTCTCCATCAGCGGGCGCGTATCCTCGGCATGCAACACCGGCAGTGAGGACTGATTGGCGTCTCTATCCGCGACCCCGTCGCTCTACACCCTTAGCCCTCGCTGCTCCCGGTTGCCATGGAACCGCAGTGGACTGCCTACTCGGAGGCACCGGGTAATCGCTACTCGCACAGCATGGCCCCGTCTCCGCACGCCTCGCGGGACGCCAGCGTGTCTTCGCAGGTCAAGCCGGACCCCTACGCAACGCCGTCACGACAGAATTCAATGCCTTTGCAATCGCCTGGCGGCACTGCTAGCCGAGGCCCCGAGTACAACGACGGCGATGGCGATGTTCCCATGGAGGACGCATACAAGCCGCGGCTGAACATGGCGCGCCCTACGCAACAGCAGAGGCAATCGCAGCAGTTCCTCCAGCAAGAGGAGAGTGCCGCCGCCCGCAGATACTCGCCCATGAACCTTTCACCTACCTCGCCCTACTCGGGCGGTGCGCAGCAGGGCGGACAGAACTACACCAGCTTTACCCCTCAGGCCCAAGCGCAGACGCAAGCCAGCCGGCAGAGCCCGACGCGCAACAATCCCTATATGTCGCCGCCCAACAACTACTACTCTCCGCCATGTAGGTTCAGCCTGTGCTTGGATATTCACATGCCTTGACCCCCAGTACTAACAGTCTCGCTTTAGCCTCCCGACCGCATGCGCCTCAACTGCCGCCTCTACAGTCTAACATGAGCCCCGAGAGTTTCTACCCGCAATCTGCGACGGCGCAATTGAACGCGGTATACAACAGAGACGCTCGATCGCCGCGCGCCTCCTCCAGCTCAAACCCTCCACAGCTGCCTCCGCCAGGCCGAGGGCCAGTACCAAAATTCGAAAAGTGTGTCAACACTGCCGATTTGCAACCTAAGATCAATGCCCAGCCGCCCTTTCGTCGCGCAAATCCTGAGGGCGGCTTTATTAGCGTAAGTCGAACAGTGTGGGCGACAGCTTCCATACTAACAGAACGTCTAGCCCCTACAAGCGCTCACTGCCCACCTGCCCATGACCTACAAGCTGTGCAACGGCGGCTTCAACTACCAATCGTCGCGCAACCCTCGCCGAGTCCTCACGAAGCCGAGCAAGGGCGTCAAGAACGACGGATACGACAACGAGGATAGCGATTACATACTCTACGTAAACGACATTCTTGGGTCAGAGGAATCAGGGCACAAGAACCGCTATCTGATTCTAGATGTGCTAGGTCAGGGTACCTTTGGGCAGGTCGTCAAGTGCCAGAACTTGAAGACACAGGAGGTTGTTGCGGTCAAGGTTATCAAGAACCGGACAGCATACTTCAACCAGAGTATGATGGAAGTGTCGGTGCTTGATTTGGTCAGTATTCACCTACAAAGACGCAGGACGGCTCTAACACGGCGCAGTTGAACAAGCAAATGGACAAGAACGATGATCATCACCTTCTGCGGCTGAAAGACACCTTCATCCACAGGCAACATCTGTGTCTGGTCTTCGAGTTGCTCAGCGTCAACTTGTACGAGCTGATCAAACAAAATCAGTTCCGTGGACTGTCCACAACCCTGGTGCGCGTGTTCGCACAGCAGCTGATCAATGGTCTCGCATTGCTTGGAAAGGCAAAGCTGATACATTGCGACTTGAAGCCCGAGAACATCCTATTGAAGAAGTACGTAACATGTCTGACATTTGCGCGCATCCACTGACCTGTTGCTAGCCTCGAGAGCCCAATCATCAAAATCATCGATTTCGGTTCCGCATGCGACGAACGCCAGACCGTGTACACGTACATCCAATCGCGATTCTACCGATCACCCGAAGTTCTGCTTGGTCTGCCGTATTCAGCAGCGATCGACATGTGGTCATTGGGTTGCATTGTTGTCGAGTTATTCCTCGGTCTGCCTCTGTTCCCAGGCTCGTCTGAGTACAACCAAGTGTCAAGGATAACGGAGATGCTGGGGCTACCACCGCATTGGATGCTCGAAATGGGCAAGCAATCAGGAGAGTTCTACGAGAAGTCGCAGGATGAGTATGGTCGCAAGCAATATCGGCTGAAGTCAATGGAGCAGTACTCACGGGAACATGGCACCAAGGAGCAGCCCAGCAAGAAGTACTTCTCTGCCACAACCCTGCCCGACATAATTAAGAATTATCCCATGCCGCGGAAGAACATGAAGCCAAACGAGATCGAGCGAGGTAAGCAGGCCAACAGACTGTGTCACCTTCACGGCTAACATCTCATAGAAATGGCCAACCGAGCGGCCTTTATCGACTTTGCACAGGGACTGCTGAATCTCAACCCACTAGAACGTTGGACCCCTGCGCAGGCCAAGTTACATCCGTTCATAACCCAGGCCAAGTTTACTGGTCCATTCGTACCTCCCATGACTCTAAAGTCTGGCTCAAGCAGGTCGCCTGCCCCCGGTGTTCAGGAACAGCAACGATACGAGGGCATGAGCAGACAGCGACAGCAGCAGCAACAACAGGCCGTCGCGCAACAACAACAAGCGCAAGCAGCCCAGCATGCTGCGTATGCGAACATGCAGATGAACCAGTATGCCGCTGCACAAAGCCCGCAGGCTCAGCAAAACCCCTACAACATGTACGGCCCGAACCACCAGGGCGCTCCTCCACCATATCCTGCACAGACAGCACAATACGGTCAGCCGATGAATATGATGCAACCACAACAGCCACGGCAATACAACCAGCCCCAGAACCTGTATGCCCAAGCTACTACCCGCGCTGGGCGGCAGCGAGCAACGACGATGGATCAACAGCAGTCGGGACAATCAGGTATCCCCCCTGCCCTTCAGAGGGTCATGAGCCACCTCGATCCCAACGCGCCTGTTCGTTTGCAACCATCACCGGCATACTACCCACCGCCACCTGATGGTGCTCCTGAAAGCGCAAGCAGCGCCGCCAGGAGAAGGGGGTCAAGGGCAGGCAATTCAAACCGCAACCAGAACTTTGTGCGAAACTTGGAAGACCGGACGCTTGAAGAAGGTTTTATGGGTCAGAATCATTGGCAGTGACGGGATGGCTTCGACGAGTAGTTCTCATATTACGAAAACAACCCTCTGCACCACGTAGAGATGCGACGGTGGATGAGTCGCGGCGTTCTGAGTTCTCCTTGATGCACGTTTCCCTCGGAGTGCTTCCGTCAGTATCGTTGCCCAAGACTGAGATAGGCAACATGTCGCTATCGACAGGTGGAGCAGGACTCGGATGACCGCGCAGGCCGCACATGTTCCCCACGATCTGCTCAAATTGTACCACGCTCTGACGATGCACAGCGCCCTCAACTGGCTTCTGACAGGCTCTCTGCTGGGCCAGATTGATGACTCACGGCCTGCACTGGGAGTCACTGAACGAGAGAAGCTGGGTCTTGATTGAATGGTACACAACGGGGCGGACCAGATGCATGTTCAACAGCTTGGCTGGGGTCGCTAGATGTCGAGCCATGACTCGAACGTCCTCAGCAGTCGGGGAAGCGGTGGATGGCAGCACATGTACTTTTATTAGCATTCTCATAAACCTGTTTGGCTGTGTCCATGGCCACAAAAGCATGTGTATACTTTCAGCTCCTCGCGATGGGGTTGGAGGATGAATGAGCTCGGTGGAGGCTGACTGTGCTATTGAATAACTAGTAGTGAACGCAAGCAATGAATGTCGAATACCAACGCTTTAGACGTGGTGCAAACTTCAGTGGTTAGAGTGACTGCCCTAGCGTATGGTGGTGAAGGCGTTCGCGTCTGCTTAGGGTTAGGCGCGGGGCACACAGTCATGGCTTGGCGCTGGCTCGAAATTCGGCTCCGGAAAGTTCAACCAAGGCGGCAGTGACTCTGGTCAACCCACACGGCGCCCGCCACACATATTACCCTCGACCCCTCCGGCAAATCCCTACTCTCGAGCACTGCAACCATGGCGTCGCGATTCTTTGCCGCCAGCGACAGCTCCTCGGACGAGTCCAGCGAGGAGGAGCTCTACTCCAACGACGAGGAGTCTGAGCAGGAAGACAGCGACAAGGACTCGGACGAGGAATCCGATGACGACGACTCGTCCGACTCTGGATCCGAAACCGGAGCCAACCGCTTCTTGAAGGACGCCTCGAGCGACAGCGACAGCGACGACGAGGATGTGAACAAGGTGCTGAAGAGTGCCAAGGACAAGCGCTTCGACGAGCTCGAGGCGACCATCCGGCTCATTGAGAACGCGCAGAAG